TCCTTCGTGACCGCGAAGTCGTTACTGAGTTCTACGCCCACCTGACTGTGGAGAAATGCGACGCCGCGTCACTACAGGCGGTCTTGCTCACTCACCTTGAAGCAACGGGGATAGACCTGCAAAGGATTTGTGGCATCAGCACGGATGGCGCTAGCGTGATGACCGGGGCACAAACAGGGCTTGTAGCGCGGCTTCAAGAGCGGATCCCGCATCTCGTCAGCTGCCACTGCATCGCCCACAGGTTGTTGGTGCACCATAGTAGTTTTTTCTTTGTTTTTCAATCGAACAGAATACTTACCTTTGGTTTTTGCTTGGCAGGGAGGCGCTCGCAGCAAAAGATGCTGCAACCTCTTTTCCCAACCTTGTCATTGTTGACAAGGTCGTGCGATCATTGGCCGAGGTCCTCGGCCGTTCGATTGTGGTTCACAATCGTTTCAAGCAGCTGCAAGAAGTGGTTACAGAGACTAATCTTGAGATGCAGGGTATCCACAACATCAGGTGGTTGTCTCGAGGTGAGGCAATCCAACGGCTTGTCGAGGTATTCCCCAGTGCAATCATTCTTCTTTCAGAGTACGATCACCAGGCCTACCAAATGGTAATCAGCCTCAAATTCCACTTCCTCCTCTACTTCCTTGCCGACGTCCTGAAGGAGTTGAATATCCTCAACTTGAAGTTCCAGCGCCGACAGGTGAGGGGGAGAAATTTAAGGGATTAGCAACTGTATGTTTGCGTTCTCATTATTCCTGTTGTTTCCTCCCACCCGTCCCCACTCCCGCTCGCCCCTCTCCACCCTACCTCAGGTCGATATTACGCACGTACTTCAAACGGTGGACAACACTAAACTTACTCTGCGCGGGCGCTACGTCAACTACGGTCAACACTTCGGACATGGGAACACGGCTCTCGTGGAGTTCATCGCCAAGCACACCGACATCCGAAACCGGCAGGTCACTGTCCGGGGTGTAGACGCAGACGGGACGCCACTCATCCATACCTACGAGCTGCATGAGAATCCAATCCACGGCCAGCGGAGTGACGGAGACATGGGGTCGTTGTTGACCCTAGCAATGCCTTTCGTTATGAAGGTGCTGAACGACATCGACTCGCGCCTGGCCGATCTTAGCAACCTCAACTGCACCAAGCTCTTTCGCCAGGGAGCCTACCCCAAGACGATTCAGAAGAGGGCACGGCGCTTTCCGATATGGCTAGGTGGGTTGCAGAATCTCTACAAGCGCGCCCCGGACGCTCCTGACACACTGCCAGGTTAGTCATCCTTTGCACTGTTGCATCATTTGCATGCTTTGATCCCAAGATTGCACCTGGCACGCTTGCTGGTTTAGCATACCCCTGTTCTTTGACTGCTGAACGGTCTCGCCCTCCCTCTCATTCCATCTCCCTTCTCCATTGCACACTCCCGTCAGGGGTCAACTGGAGCAAGGCGGAGAAGGAGCTGACACAGTTCACGACCATTATGTCTGCACATCAGAAGGAATCTGGGTTCTTGGACGGTTTGAAGAACATGCTGGCCTCTCCCGACTGGGAGACGGCGTACCTCAACTTGGTGCTGGTGTGGATCGCGGTGGCAGTACTCCCTCTCAGCACGGTGGAGTGTGAGAGGGGCTTCAGTCGGCAGAACGTTATTAAGAGTTGGCTCAAAGGCAACTTGTGCGATGCCAAGTTGTCCGACCTTCTCACTATCTCCCTGCTCGACTACGACATGGATTGGGACTCCATGGTGGCGAGGTGGCGGGGGGTGAAGAAGCGAAGACCGGCAAAGGAGGTGGTGATGGTGCAAGCCGTGCGGACCGAAAAGCGCAAGAGATCGCCAGCGGCGAGGGCGGCAAAGAGGGCGGCAGCAGCAGCAGATGCATCAGCACGACAGGCAGCGGCAATCGCTGAAGCAGAGGAAGTGCTACAGGAAGAAGAGCCTGGATCTACATACTGGAAGAGAAAGTCCAGAGGCAAGGCAGTAGTAGCAGCAGCAGCACCTGCAGGAGACTCTGACAGTAAGGAAGAAGACAATCCCTTTGCTGGTGACAGCGAAGAAGGCTGACTCTAAAAGGTGTTCATGAGGCTGATGATGATGGCAAATCCTGTAGGTTAAGTAGCTCAATAGGATAGGTACGAATGTCATTGTTGTAGTAGACGTATGCAGATGTATGTGTTGTTTAACTTGAACAAGAGATAGTATACACTGTGCAATTTGCTTAGCTAGACTGATCCCACCATTCCAGATGGAAATACAGACGGCGCAAAAACTTTCATCCGAAGGTGCAGACTGGCCTTATGTATTCGTCTGAAACGTCAGACTCCACCAATTCTCCCGTCTGATGGTCAGACAGCGCACAAAAATCCGGTCTGAATGTCAGACGTCTCCAAATCCTAGCAAGAGCCCTGGTACAGAGCTAGCCGAGAACCGCACGAACAAGTTGGGGCAGTCCGGTTGGCGAAAGCTACGGAAGCGCCGCGCGTCTAGGTTTGGGTTCGCGAAGTTGGCTGAGCCTGGACTTCCGAGAGACAAGGGCGTACGGGCTATAGTTGAGTCCAGTAAGGAAAAGGGAATTTCCTTACAATTGTGCATTTGTGTTTCTGTGGAAGGATGCATTTCATGAATGTTTTGTTGCAATCCAACTTTGTTATCCTATGCAGTCAAGGAATCAGCAACTGGCAGATATAATTGAAACTTGCCTCAAACACATGCCTTATTTTTTTTCCCATCGTATGGGAATTGCTTGAAAGTTGTTGCAATGTCTTGTGGCATTCTAATACTACGGTGTATAATTTGTCTAAAATGTGGAAATACAGTTCGTTATGTGGTAACGAAGTGCGCTGCACACAGAAAAACCTGGCGCAAACCAGTTCAATTCTGCACAAGGCATTTCGTCCGTTGGATCACGTTGATGATATGCATGCTGTTGGCCATGTCGGACCTAACAGGGTGTAATGTCGCAGCTCTCAGGCTACCCGTTGGAGCAGCAGCCGGAACTTTGGGAAAGTGCTCCGGCAAACCCCCTAAGTCTGTGCACCCGCAGGGATGTGTCAGGCCTTTTGTGGGAGCGCGTCCGCCAATCCGCGGATTTTCCCATTTCAACCATTGCGGTCATTGGGAGTGGCGGCTCTCACGACTGTCGCAAGTTTCTGCTGTGTGCCCAGATAAGTTGTCATCAACCCCTTTCGCTGCACGAGAGTTGTTAGCGAACTTCGCAACGGAAATCGTCGCTCCGTCCGTTGAGGAAACCCCCGCGCGCTGGGCAAAGCGCGATGCGCCAATTTTGTCGGCGGAGCTTCCCCATCACCGCTCAGCCAGCCTCAGGATTGGCTGGGATTCCTCTGGGCCATGCTGAACCCTTTCTGTGGTTCACCAGCAGCAACTGAGACAACCCAGACCCACAAGGCAACCCAACCGTTGTTCACTTTCTTCAACCGATCGTAACCGTAATAACCAACCCGCAAAACCACACCCCTGCCCACCAGCAGCAATTCCGCGCGTTTGCTTTTCTCCTTCACCAGCCTTGTCTTCCTCTCATTTTCGCCTCTAGGACCTCCGTCTTGCTGCTTTGGTTCAGCCGCAGATGGCCGGAAGCCTTTCTTAGCGTTCACTTATAGCAGCAGCGATCTCCATCTCTAGCCGCGATGTCCTCCGTCAGCAACAAATCGCCATCTATTTCCGTCGTTAGCACAATTTCTGTCGTGAGCAACGATTTCGCCATCAGCAGCAACGATTTTCGCTGCCAGCGTCGACTTGGTTGCCATCAGCAATTTCTGCTGTCAGCTGCGAATTTGGTCGGCAGCAGCGATTTCCGTCGTCGCGGCAATTTCCGCCGCGAGCCGCCGTCAGCGCTCAGTCGTTAACACTAACGATTTTCGACATCAGCAGCGATTTTGGCCGTCAGGAGAAACGATTTTTGGAAGCCAGCGGTTTCAACCTCGCAGGTACGTTCGATTTCAATTTTCGCCGATATCCGACTTCGTTTCCACCCTTTCATCTGATTCGATTCATTTCTCTTCTTGCAGGTAACCACGACGCGTGTTGTCCACCGTCACGCATGAAGATTTTCACCGTCAGAAACGATTTCTGCCGTCAGCAACGATTTCTGCCGTCAGCAGGAGCGATTTCCGCCGTCAGCAGCGATTTCCGCTGTCTGGAGAAACGATTTTGAAAGCCAGCAATTTGAACCTCGCAGGTACGCTTGCACAAATGTCCGATTTCGTTTCCGCAGTGTTTTCCCTCGGCTCGATTTTTTGCCGTCTAGACTGATTTGATTCGTTTCTCTTGTTGCAGGTAACCATGACGCGTGTTCGCCACCTGTTCGCCATCAAGCATTCGCCACCTGCTCGCCATCAAGCCTTCGCCATCTCGCCTGAAGATTCGCCATCAAGCATTCGCACCATAGAAAAGCTAAGTCCTCTTCCCCTCTCTTGACCACCCCTGTTCGCTTTCTGTTTCTGCTTCAATCCACATTCGCTTCACCCCGTCATTGCGTTCATCACTCCGCCGCATGTGAGTGGCCTGTCCAGCAGAGAGCAGGAGCAGCCCTAAATTCCCGAAACCCTTAGTCCAAACGGCCTTTGTCTAGGTGTGCAGGGTCCCTTGCTAGAGTCCAGTGGGGTTTCGTCTGTTGTAGGGTCCTGAGTCGTCTGCCTAAATCAACTGATTCCTCGTGGAATCAACCACCCCCTCCTCGCCTCTGCTGGATGCACCACTGACGTGCAACCCCCACCCCCTCCCCCCCCCCCCCCCCCCACCTCCCCCCCTCCCCGCACCATCATGCTCCCACGCCATCATTCATGTGCACATCGAACCCCCTTCGATTTAACCCGCAATCTCGATTTTGCTCTTTCTCTCTCTGTGCCACACTCCCCCCTCGGTTGCTGGCCTTCAACTCACTCCTCCCCTCCCTCCTCTCTCTGCCCTCCCTCCCTCACCCCCTTCCGTCCAGGCCTGCTCATCCCCTTCCGTCCAGGCCTGCTCATGCTTCGCGGAACAGCGGCCGCATCCACACATGCGGGCAGCAAGAGGGTGGGCGACAGGGGAGCAGCACCATCGCTCATGGATGGTCGAGGTTGCAGTATCACCCCACGTCACCACACACCACAAGAGCCTTCCCCCCAGGTTCAGGTTCAGGTTCAGGTTCAGGTTCAGGTGTTTTTTTTGGTACTGGCTCGAGTGGTGCTGTGGTCGGCATCACATGCACATGCACCATCCATTCTGCACTTGCACAGCTTTCAACCGTTCTTTCCCTTTTCGCCTGGTTCACTCCAACTCATTCCTCCCCGCCCTCCCCGCTCTCTCCTCTTTGTCCTCCATGTCCCCCTCCCTTCCAGGCCTGCGCATGCTGAGTGGAAGGGCGGCCAACGAGCACCAAGGTGGGCAGCAAGAGGGCGGGCGGCAGGGGAACACCACCATCGCTAATGGATGGTGAGGTTGCAGTATCACCCCACGCCTCCACAAACCACAAGAGCCTTCCCCCCAGGTTCAGGTTAGGCTCAGGCTTTTTTTTCTTTGGTACTGGCTCTTGTGGTGCTGCGGTCGGCATCGCATTCTGCACCATCCATTCTGCACTCGCACAGCTTTCAAACGTCCATTTGAATTTGAGTCATGTTTTCATTTTCGCTGCTTTGCTCTCTTTGCCGCTTTCAGCTCAGTCCTCCCCTCCCTCCCTCCCTCCCTCCCTCCCTCCCCTCCCTCCCCTCCCTCCCCCCGCTCTGCCCTCCCTCCCCTCATGGGCTCCCAGGTTTAAGTGGAGGGGCGGCAATCGAGCGCCAAGGGAGGAGGAGAACCAAGGCGGGCAGCAAGAGGGCGGGCCATTGCCATTGCTCATGGATGATCGAGGTTGCAGTATCACCCCTCCACCACACACCACAAGAGCCTTCCCCCCAGGTTCAGGTTCAGGTATTATCTTTGGTACTGGCTCGAGTGGTGCTGTGGTTGGCATCACATGCACATGCACCGCTTTCAGACTTCCTTTCCCTTTTTGCATGGATCCCTTTCATTGGTCACTACCTGCTGCCACGCACTCACTTTCTCTCTCTCTCTTTCCCCCTCTTCCTGTGCCTGGCAGGTCCTTACTTCCAAGCCCCCCCTGCCCCGCCAAGGTGCAAGGAAGCGCCAACACCTGCAGCGCCAACGCCTGCAGCGCCAATGCCTGCACGCCAGTAGCGCCATCGCCTGCTGGAAGTCGTCTTCAAGCAGAGCAGAGCTGCAGAGCTAAGTACCCGCCCTCTTCCTCCTCTCCATGCATTCATTCACCTCGCATTTCTGCTTTCCTTGCTTGTATTGCGCTTCTGTGGTTTCTCCATTCAAATCTCGCCACTGGTTGGGGCCCGACTCACAAGCCACAGACCCCCTCCCCCCCCCACCCTACTACTGGTAAAGCCCTCCCTCAGGTTAAGCCCCCCGAAGCCTAACAGCCCCCTCAGGTTCCCTTGGGGGTCTGTGGCTTGTGGGTTTGCCTCCTCCAGTGGCCCCTCCCCCCTCTCGCCTTGCAGTTTTGGTTTTCAGTCTCTGCTGTACTTTCGCCCTTGATGCCCTCACGGTGCTCTGACTAGTTCTGTTTTCCCCATTGCAGGTGGAGGGGAGGGGCGCGGGGGCCAACACCGCCTCTCCCCCACGCCCCTCCCTGGTGGCCGAGCAGGCATGCACAGCGGAAGGCTGGGAGGAAGGCTGCCACGAGGTGAACTCCCAGGGAGAGTATCGGGGTGGGGCCGGCATGTCAAGGTTAGCCCCTCGCCTGCTGTTGCCTGCTCCCCTCTCTTTCTGCTCTGCCTGGCTGGGAGAGGATGGCTCGTCTTGCTGCCCAATCCGCCTGTCGTTAGTTTGCACCATGGCTTGACTCACCCTTGGCTGGGCCACGGCCTGCTCTCACTCGCCTCCTGTCTGCATCCCCCTTCCTGCCCCTCTCCAGGTGAGCAGTGGTGGCTGAGCAGCACGCCGCCAGCAGCTGTTGCAGCAGCTGGATGCAGGGAGCAGCAGCCGTGCTTCAACTTTTTAGCTAAGTACTTTCTCTTCCTTGGACCTTCCCTTTTCTGCTGCTCAGTGCTGCAATTCCGCTTTCTTTGCTTTTCCTGTGCGTTGATGCTTTCTGTATTACAAATTTGCCACTGGTTGGGGCCTCGTTCACAAGCCACAGACCCCCCTCTACTGCTGGTAACTCCCCCCAGGTTGAGCCCCCCTAAAACCTTACAGCCCCCTCAGGTTCACCCTCTACTGCAGGTTCAGCCCTCAGGTCCCCTTGGGGGTCTGTGGCTTGTGGGTACGCCTCCACCAGTGGCCCCTCCCGCCTCCCTTCTCTTGTCTTGCTGTTCAAGTCAAGGTTCCCGATTCAACCTAGATACTATCTCTCTGCACTGACCAGCTCTGCTTGTGTGCATTGCAAGTTGAGGGGAGGAGCGTGGGGGTCAGCACCGACACTCTCCCACGCCCCTGCCCTGTGGCTGGGCGGAATGGCAGCCCGTGGGGATGGGAGGAAGGCACCCCTGCACCAGGCTGAAACTGCCGCTTCAGGGGAGAGTATGGGGGCTGGGCTTGGCTTCTCAAGGTACGTTGATCCCCCCTCTGGAGTTCGTTCACTGCTACTACAGTGCTATCTTCAGCTCCCCCCCCCCCCCGTTCTTGTCAGCTTCACTTCGTGTCTGATCTGCCATGTTTGCTAATCCCGTACTTCTCGTCTCACCAACTCCTCCTCCCCTCCTCTCCTGTCTGCCCTCCCCCCTTGTTCCCCCGACCAGGTCACCTGGCATCAAGCGAAGACTGCAGCAGAGCAGCTGAGCAGCAGACTGGTAGCAGCAGTTGCAGCAACAGAAGCGGCAGCAGCTGTAGCAGTGGCAGCAGTGGGGGTTGGGGGGCTAGAGGGCAGGCTAGGCTAGGTCGAGTTGTGAGCGAGGTATGGTAAAATGTGAGGTATGATGTCAGGTCAGGTATGGTGATCTGACCCCCTCCTCTCTTTCTCTCCATCCCGTCCTGCAGCCTGAAGATTGGAGCACTGGAGCAAGGGACAGTGGAGCGCACCCCCTCACTCACCTCCTCCCCTCCCCTCTCCCTGTTCCCCCCCACTCCCTCCCCACTTCCCAGCATCCCTGGGTCGGAGCACTGGAGCAAGAGCATCAGAGTGGAGCGCACCCCCTCATTCACACCCTCCCCTCCTCTCTCCCTCCCCAGCAGCACCATGCCTTGAGCAGAGAGGAGTTTCCCCCCTCTCCTAATCCCCCCCCGCACCCTCCTCCCCCGGCAGCTCCTTGGCTTCAGCAGTGAGGAGTCCCCTCCTCCGTAATGCCCCCCCCCCCCTTCCCTTCCCAATCCCCAGCAGCCTCGGGCTCTGCATGGCTGTGGTAGGTGGAGGTAAGGACGCATGGCGGTGAAGGGAGGGGGGTGGGTGGGGAGCATGGGAGCAAGCGGTCAGTTCACTGCCTCAGGGGCAGCACCCTTGGTGGCTGTGGCTTGTGGGTTGGGTGTGGTTGGTGGAATCTGCGTGGTGTTGGCAGTCGGTGCTCAAGTAACCGATCTGGCGTTTAAGGCTTAATGGACACCGTCAGAGTCGGCCGGCTGGCGGCTCTGGTTCGCGTCAGCTCTAGCCACGTCAGGGGTGGGATTTGAGTCTTGGGCCACGTCATGCTCTTCCACCACCACACCTCGCCCTTCAAGGCATGGCCACTTGGGGTGCTGTTTCCGAAAGGGAGTGGGCTGCCCGCTGCTCCTACTGCTGACAGGTGAAGGTGAGGAGAGGCAAGGGGGAAGGGGAGAGGGGGTGGGTGGGGGGGAGCTGGTGGGGGTGATTGGGTATGGGAGGATGCACTGACTGGGTATGGGGCAGGGCGGCACATGATGATGCTGCATGGAGTGCCTGATGCCGCCCTGCCTTGTGCCAGTCTGGTGATGCATGCATGGCTCCAGGGGGGGCGTAATCCCCCAAGGGTAAGTTGAGGGAGGGATGGAGGAGGGTGTCTGCAACCCACCCCCAGGGTAAGATGAGGTGAGGTGTGGTGAGAAGTGGTGGTGAGATGTGGTGGTGGGTTGGGATGGGAGCTGAGACATCTGCACGCGCGCAGCAAGGTGACGTGAGGTGTGGAGTTTGATGTGATGGGCGTTGAGACTTCATGGGTAAGTTGAGTGAGGGGCGAAGTGTGGGGGTTCTGAAACTCCAACAGGTAAGTTGAGTGAGGGGCGAAGTGAGGGGGTTCTGAAATCCCAACGGGTAAGTTGAGTGATGGGCGAAGTGAGGGGGTTCTGAAACCCCAACGGATGAGGCGAGTGAGGGGCGAAGGAGGGGGTTCAGAAACCTCAATGGGTATTTTGAGTGAGGAGCAAAGGAGAGGGTTTTGAAACCCCTGGGATAAGTTGAGTGAGGGGCGAAGGAGGGTGTTCTGAAACCCCCATGGGTGAGTTGAGTGAGGGGAGAAGGAAAGGGTTCTGCAACCCCTTCAGGCTTAAGAGTGAGTTGAATATGGGCCGAGTGAAGGAAGGCTGAAGCCTTCAGGGTAAGTTGAGTGAGCAGCGAAGGAGGGGGTTCTGAAACCCCCAAGGGTAAGTTGAGTGAGGCGGACGAGATGAGGTTGGGATTCTCGTGGTGATGCCATTGTAAGGCAGGGGATGGGGTCAGGAGTTCCCAAGGTGAGGCTTGTGAGTGGCAGGGGGGGAGAGGGGGGTTGGAACCCCCATGGTAAGGCCTTTAAGGGGCAGGGAAACCCCCCTCCTCTGTCTTTGGCACGCCTTAACCTGTGGGCTTTAACTCCCCTCTT